CAACATAACAGCATGGCTTTACTTCTTATATTTCATTTTTATACTTTTCTGCCAGATGGTTAAGACCAAGGTAAAGCAGGACCTATGGCCCCTAAAGTTTTAACTACAGAATTAACATATAATTGAACAATTTCACTCCTAAGCCTATACCCAATGAGCTGAGAGCTTACAAGGTAGTAGCAACATACATGTTTCTATTTGGATGAACAAATGTGTTATATACTTCATTTGACCATTATGCAGCTAATGAAATTTTAATATGTGCATAAGCATAGTGAATCTTGAAGACATGCTAGGTGACAGAAAGTTAATTTAAAAAAAAAGGGCAAGTATTATATGACAACGTATGGGAAGTACCTAGAGTTATCAGATTCATAGAAAGAAAGTAAAATGCTGGTTGTTGAGGGTTGGAAAATGGGAAGAATTGCAAGTGACTGGATAAAAGGTGAAGTGTTAGTTTTGGAAGATGAAAAAATTTCTAGAAATGGACCATGGTAATGTTTGCACAACAGTGAGAATGGGCTTAAAGCCACTGAACTGAACTTACAGATGGCTAAAAAGGTAAATTTTGTGTTACAGTTATAACAATTATGAGCAGGATGTAAATATGTTCATTATCCTTTCTGCCCAGTCACCTCACTTTTGAGAATTGGCACTACAGATATTTTACATACCTAAAGTGCTATATGCTACATTCAGTGATATGCATATTGACACTTATATTCTTTGTTTTATGTAAGTATGCATTGTATATATGTATGTATGTATGTGCTTATTTATTTTGGTACAGGGTCTCGCTGTGCACTTCATGATCCTCCTGTCTCAGGCACCCCAGCACTGGGATTACAGGCGTGTGCCACCATGCCTGGTTTCAGTGGCTGGTATGGCATGTGGTACTGGGGATCAAACCCAGGTCCTTGAGCTTATCCGGCAGGTGCTTAGACCACTGAGCTATCTCCCCAGCCCCTATATTCTTTGTTCTTAAAAAATTTTGAACATAGTCTAGATCTTTGTCAATTGAGAAATAAATGAAGAGGTCAAAGTAGATTTTTAAGTGAAATGGCTATTTTGAGTGTGTGACAGTGAAGATGCAATGACTATTAGATTATTATTGTGCACGCTGATATTTTAGTTTATCTAAGGTATTTACAGCCTTAGCATTATTAGTACAAATGACAACTCAATGAAAAGCATTTTTTTTTGAATAGGCATTATGAAGAAGAGAAATTTCATAGAACTAGGCCAATCATGAGTTTTCTGGCACATAATAATCATAGTTTTTCAAAATTATATTTTTCCCATGAGCATTCTTTAGGGAGTGCTGGCCCAGACAGATAGTATGATGAACATTTGTCTGGGAAGTTATTTAATAACATCTTAGTGCCTACATATGAATATAAAACTTTCATTAGGTGGAGTGAGGGAATCCACAAAAATAAATTCCTCTATGAATTCTAAAGAGTCACTTTT